GAACAGAAACCTGATCAGAATTACAAAAATTACAAAATTAATACCACTAACCCTCCAATCACAGGCATGAATCCATGTTTCAGTTGCATCTGGGGTAAGTGCATCCTGAATTTCTGGTACCGTGTCATACATGCGATACTTCCACCGACTGACGTGCACACGCATCCCAAAGCGTTCATGGAGGCTCCGGTATACATATTCGTACCCATATTTTGCTGAAGGATTGAGTGCAAAATGTTGTTAGTTTATGAGAAAATCCATTCAAACACAGGTTTACAGAAGTGCATGTCAAAACTGAAGTATCAGGCTCCCACAAAATACAGACCTGCATGTTTCCAAGAATATATTATTCATAAACCATATTGCATTCCTCACTACACTGTGATACATCAGCCATCAAGAATATCTTTTTTGAGCACAGGATATGTTTCCCTAGAAGATGAGTACTCCTTACAATAATTAATCATCAAATATTCTGCACGGAAATTTCATCACATATATCTACTATCACATTTCAGGAAGCTAATCTGAGACGATTTTGATTCTCACATATACAAAAGAAAACAGATTTTTCATATACAGGCTAGACAATGTGGAAACAAGACCAAGTACTTTTTTGTGCTGGTGAAATCTTAGTGATATGATTTGTGCAATCTTGGAAAATGTAACTGCTTGAACGAATTAAGTGATAAAAATGTGATATGACAATTTTTTACTGTTATAGCGATAAGAGTACAAAATATCTCGATGCACTGCTGTATCCTCTTAGAGAATAGTGCTAATTGCAAATCCACAACAAACAATTCTTTATATGTTATAACACACTAAAAATCAGAGGCCATTACATGAAATGGGTTTCTAAAAATAACACTGTTGAAGTTGTTATCTACATAAAGGAGGACAGTTTACATGTGCAGGTATTTAAGTTGTGTTGGAGTAGCTTGCATCAGATAAATGAAAAACCACAATACTATAGGCAAAAGGTCTGTACACAAATTTGTAGTGCATTGTGGAAGATCACTGATACAGAGTGGAAATAGGAGCAGTACTTGCAGAGATTTTTGAGGGACACCCAGACTATCTTTAGCTGATTATGAAACCAAATCCCCCTTAGGACTTGCTACAATCATTTATATTTCTGTAGTTATTTACAGTGGAGTTTCCAGGTACTTATGCTCATGTATATAGTACCAAATATAAAAATTTTCCATTATTTTTTTTTCTTATCATTAAAAAACTTTTTTACCAAATATAATCCACAGGTGTCCAAAACGGTTTATTTATCATCTTTTAATAATGTAGCTACTATGCACTTAAATTTTTCAACATTATGCTTCTTCACATTACTTCATTATTTATACAAAGTAAAGGAGATGTCATCTCTATTTCTAATGTAACTATATTCAAAACTTCAAAAGAAATTAAAACCTTTTTGCCCAATAATAATCTACACCTGATCCAAGCAGTTAACTACAATTAGTGTGCTACCCTAAAAACACACAGTAACCTTAATTAGAAAAAAAGGAATAGCAGAAGAAATTACAGGACTACTTCATGCACATCTTTGCAATGGAGTTGAAAGGTCAATCACTAACCTGGGCACACAAGGTGTATGAGATGGTTATTTCCTCTTGCCAGCCAGTCTTCTACAAGATCACAGATGGCAGATGAACTATCCTCTCTTGAGGGAAAGTGCAAGATATCACGGTGGCAGAAAGTGGTGTCTATATGTAAAGAATCTACAGCCTTAACAGTGCCATCTGAGTTGTGTAATGCTCGTATTCTTTCTACATCTCCTACACTTGTACGGAAATCCCCAGTGTATAAAACAGTTCCTCCTCTTCCCTCAAACAAGAACCTGCAAATGAAAAAAAAAAAAAAAAAAAAACTTAAATGGATATATCTCATATTACAATCTATGATATTTCACATAAACCAGATGATGGAAAATCAACAACCACATAGCAAATGATTTAAACTACTGAATACAATATTCAAGATGACCCAGCTAAAGGTACTCTTCACAAGTCTTACATGACTGATCCTGGGCAGTGTCCCGCAGGTATAAGAGTGACACAGAGTTGATGGCTGGCTTCCTCAGCAACATTGGGAACTGTTATCTTGACAGGTTCTTCAGGAGGTAATGGCCTCACAAATGGGTCCAAAGGGCGGTGTCGGATAGATGCTTGCAGAAAGCGAGCCGTGATAGCAGAGCAGTAAAGATAGACGCCACTATTACTCTCTAGGTGATCCAAGAACTGGGGTGAACTCAACCCAATCATGTGATCTAAAAAAGAAAAAAGAAAAAAAATAAATAATAATAATATCAATAACATTAGTAAAAAAATTGTCAAGCAGTGGGTTCAATAAATGTGCTTACTGTACGGATGGCTAATGGAACAAATGGTTTAGTTTACTACATTTTCTTCCGGTTACTTTAATCTAGAAATGCATAGTAAAAGGTAAAAATAAGCTGCTGTATACAATATTACTGATGGTACAACTAAGTGAACAAAAATTAAAACAGGAATAATCAATCTAATATTCATCAATGTACAACCTCTTGTTATCACTTTTCTTACAGTTGCTGTGCCTTACATGATTCACAGAGTTCCCAACTATCAATATAACAATATCTGAACAAATGCTAGGATAGCAAACAAAAAGTCATGGTATCTAACTGCTCAACATTTCTTAGATTTTATAAGTACTATACAGTATTTAAAACCCCCTTTATACTAGGGCAACAAAACAATTAAGCATGGTCAGCAAGAATAGCTACCAACACAAGCCAATAGTCATGTGGCTCATGAGAGTTGTGGGGGTATAATGTTCATCAACATATTGAACATTTCCAATATTCAGGAAGAGATAATACTAATGGCAACACAATGATTGGCAACAACCAGCAAAACCTCTGAAATCAGCTGGCCATGTTTTTTGTTTAAATGTAGGCCAGAGTAGGCAACCAGTTAGCAATCTCACAGCTATGCATATGCATCAGTCTGGAACCTTGTTAGCAACTGTTTAAAATACTGGCAAATTGTGTATCCTGCTGCTTCTGATTTTTCACTCAAGTGGCTAACCACACATGATCCCTGGCACATGACAGTTCAACACGCAGAAATCCTGTCACCACTGATTTAACTCACTGATGCCAGGATGGCATGTGCATACATGTCCATTAATCTTAATCTGTGCTTCTTTATCAAGGAGTCAATTACTAATCTTATCTATCTTACCTGTTTATCCTTCTCCCTGATTTTCATATGCTTTTCTGTTTTCTGCATTATAATTATCATGTCAGTAACAACAACAATAATAATGGTATCGATATTAATAGTATCAGAAAAAATTCCAGGAATGGGGAAACCAGGTGAGGTCATTTGATGTGGGCCCTCCTTGTCATATTATCATTTTATGGGGAATAAATAAATTGATTAAATATAATACATTTCATCTATGATATGATATCTAAGTTACTTGATATTGAAGTATGATATGCACAGCAGCTTCTTCACCCTTTACCTTTCACTCTTATAATTGACTGATGTGTGTCAGTCCTTTAAACTGCTATGTCCTTCTTTAGAAAGGAACCATCTCTTAGGGAAAAAAAGTTCTAGGATGTTTGTTTCCTTTGAAAATGATTATCAATGAAAACTACCTTTAAACTGACTGAACAATCAAATATCATCATTAAGGACAGTCTGATTATTTGAAACCGTTCAGAAATAGCTCTTGTATCCATTAGATGTCTGTGGTTTCTGTATTGGTTCTGCTACAGGATACTGATAATATCAACTAAGGAACCAGTCTAAGGTTTATTCTGCCAGAAAATAAATGCAATTATGACTGTTGTGCATATAATACACCAAGTGGGTGAGTAACCTGTAACAAAATCACAGTTTTTCTTTCATTTCATGAATGAATATTTCAAAATTTCTTGCTATTACCCTGATTTCGCTGTTACTAATGTTTATAACATTATGATAATTATAATATTTATAATAAAAATAACACCATCAACATTCATATCACCAGTAAGAAGAAATCTGACAATTCAAGGAAGGGTGAAATTGGATAAGGTCACAAGGTCTACTAATTGACTCCTTTGTGGCTCAGCACTAGCAGTCATCTATGTGCAGACATTTCACAAAAAAAAAGAAAATGTGCAAAGCATTTTCCTACTGGCATTGTGTTAAGATTCCTTGTAAAAAAAAAATTCTCCAATGACTGAAAAAGATAATAAAGTAGCTGAAAAGTTTCTGATAATGTTGAGAAAAATGTGACATTACACCCTTGAATTGCTAAAAGAGATGAGACTTCAACTTATTTCCTTTATTAATACAGGGAGGCACTCAACCAGAATCTATAAATAACAACATTCCAAGAACATGAATGAATCTTCCATTCCTCTTAAAATACATTTGTTTACATGTGACAGCTGATCTCTCTGCCAAATCAGACAAGCTAACCAGATGGGATCACTCTTCATAACTCTATGAAAGTACAAATATGGGTTTTCCTCTCTTTTTACTTCCTCATTCCTTCAACCTTTGTCTTGTCTGCGAAGAAGGAAAAAACATTCCTTTGTGCATGTGCTGCCCTTGAGACCCCCTGGAAGACGTGTTCCTTCCCCCATGTTTTCTTCTCTCGGGATTCCTTCAGTTTTCCCCTCACATCACACGTCCCACTCCCTCTATTCCCACCCCCTCTTGCCCTTTTCCTACCCTGGGTACTCACCGGAATGGGCATGGCTGAGGAAATAAGCGGTACTGGCGAGGTTACGGCCATCGAACCTGTCCACGGAGATCTGCGGGAACTCCTTTATCTTGCCTGAGAACGAGCTCATGGCGCAAGGTCAGGTCAGGTCACTCGGTTCCTGGCATCATCAGGGCTTGGTGCATGCCCGCCCACATGCTAACGGGGGGCCATCTCACACGCCGCGGCCATGGTTATCGGGGCAAACGTGATTCATGACTGAATTTCATCGGAAAATGTCAACACAGATGACGACAATGTATGAGGCGCGGACGAGGAGCAAGTGCTGGCGCTAATTTCAAAGGTATGATAAGCAGGCGAGTGCAAGATTGCACTTCGCTGCAGTGCCTCGGTTTGCAATTTCACGCTTGAAGTTTCCTAACTGATCACGTCACATGTGGCAGAATAGTTTATCATCAGTGATAAATAGGAGATATCTTTTAGCTTATACATGGCATGCGTATACGCGTGCATATAAAATGTATATAGTTATGTGAAGCTATTTACGAAAGCGGGAAAACCTTGCCAAACTGAGATCGGTGAAGCCAGGCCATTCTTGGTCTGGAAAATGGCCCAGGTGAACACCCGGGAAATGGCCAGCAAAGAATGAGAGGGCAGTGGGTGCTCTTCACTCGCTTGACACGTTTACACATGTATGGCCACGGCTAAACATGCCTTCGCAAATATCTCTAAGTACAACTAATTTGTAGGGTGCGATTCCATGTGTATGTATATCTATATCTAACTGTCTATCTATCTATATATCTATATCTATATCTATAATATATCTATATATATATATAATATATATATATATATATATATATATATATATATATATATATATATATATATGTGTGTGTGTGTGTGTGTGTGTGTGTGTGTGTGTGTGTGTGTGTGTGTGTGTGTGTGTGTTTGTGTGTGTGTGTGTGTGTGTGTGTGTGTGTGTGTGTGTGCATGTATGTATATATATATATATATATATATTATATATCATATGTATGTATGCATATATACCAGTATGCATATGCATATATATATATATATATATATATATATGTGTGTGTGTGTGTGTGTGTGTGTGTGTGTGTGTGTGTGTGTGTGTGTGTGTGTGTGTGTTTGTGTGTGTGTGTGTGTGTGTGTGTGTGTATGTGTGTGTGTGTGTGTGTGTGTGTGTTTGTGTGTGCGCGCGCGTGTATGTGTATGTGTGTGTATGTATATGTATGTATGTATGTATGCATATATATAAATATGTATATATATGTATATATACATACAAACACACATATACATGCATACATAAATATACATACATGCATAATATATATATATATATATATAATATATATATATATATATATATATATATATATATATGTATATATATATATATATATATATATATATATATTTATTTATTCATTTATATTTATATATACACATATGCGTGTGTATGTACGTACGTATGTACGTATATGTAACATACACACACACACACACTCATATATATATATATATATACATATATATATATATATATATATATATATATATATATATATATATATATATATATATATATATATATATATATATATCCAGCAAATATCAGCCTTCGGTAGTTGAGTTACTGGTGGGTGCTTGCTAAGAGTCTCCCTTGTCAATTTAGTAGTAAACCAAACTACGTGCCTTCAAGGCAAAGTGTCAATTTTGCTTTATGGGCGCCATCCCATGCCTGGGAGTCTCGTCTTGATGCCTTTTGTAACAGGTCCTTGTGTCGAATCAGGGGACATAGTTGGCAGGACCGTGTGTCCAACCAATGGTTAGAACGTGAGACCAGCACAGGACCTGTTATTTGCACAAGCCGGGGCCGCCGACTCAGACTTTACAGTGACCTAGTTCGCTTCCCTGTGGACGATCTTGCCCATCAAGCAGTCTTTTCCCGAGACAACCCTGGGATGTCCCAAGAAGTCGTGGCTTGGGGAGATTGAACAGATTTGTCGCAAGGAGTTAGAATTGGGCCGAGAGCCTGCCAGTCTTCTCGCCATGAAGGACCCTCGTGGCTGACTGCGAAGGGCGGAAGTGGCTCCAGTGATTTATACATCTGTGCGTGCGTGCCCGTGTGTGAGTGGAATGTGCGTACTAGTAATTCTATATAGACAATCAAACCTAAAGATGAAATTCAGGAGGATTTCGAAACTGCTGTCTAAATTTTCAATAAATCTGGTTTGCGTATTGTGGGTTCTACCATAGATAAACAGACAGATCAAATATGTAATAGATAGGTAAATATATATGTATGTATACACATACATACATACATGCGTACATACGTACACACGCACACGAACACGCACACAAATATACACACAAACACAGACATATATATATATATATATATATATATATATATATATATATATATATATATATATATATATATATATATACATATATATATATATATATATATATATATATATATATATATATATATATATATATATACATATATATATATATATATATATATATATATATATATATATATATATATATATATATATATATATATGGTAGAAAAACCCACAATGTAAAAACTAGTTTTTACATTGTGGGTTTTTCTACCATAGTACCAACACGGTAGAGTGTTTTCCTCATTCATATATATATATATATATATATATATATATATATATATATATATATATATATATATATATATATATATATGTATATATATATATATATATATATATATATATATATATATATATATATATATAAAGAAAAAAATAAAAAAAAAAATAAAATAAATATACACACATATATGTACATATATATATATATATATATATATATATATATATATATATATATATATATATATATATATATATATATATATATAAAGAAAAAAAGAAAAAAAAACGAAAGAATATATATATCGGCCTTATACCTTAAAGACCGTATTATTAATCATTAAACTATATTATTGAATGAAATGATTAGCTGTTACCACTCTATCTTTTAAATATCATATCAGCATTAAGTAGAAAAAGAAAAGAAAAACTCTTTAATTTAACTATTTTTAATTTTGTTTAAATAGTCAAAGTATATACAAAAGTCAAAATATACATGAACACTTAAAGTTTGCTGGAGAACAAACTTTTCAATCGTCATCACTAATTATTTATACTGGCATGGCACCCTTATCATGAAGTATAGCACTATAGATGCTAAACAGACTATACTCTGTTTATTTGTTGTTGTTTTTTTTCAAATACCTATATATCTTAAGATTCAGCTGTGAAAAACTTGTCTTTTCAGTTCCAACAGGGATGGAGAAGTTCCAACAGGGATGGAGGTAGTTTAAAAAAAAAAATACTACTATGTTTTTTTTTAGTTGTAGTGGTAGTAAAAATAGTAGTAAATATTTTAATAATTACATCTACGACTACTTTTAATAGTACTGCCTTCTATCACTAGAGTGTAATTGGATGTTTCTTCACCATTTTTCCATTTTTGGTCATTAATAATGTTATTTTGTGTTATTATGTTCCAGTGTTCACAAATTATCATTACTGTGTACAGTACTCAGAGAAAAATGGCACTCAAACTTCCAGTAAGATGATATAACATTTAAGCTTATTCTGATATAATATTCATATAAAAAAGGTTTTATACCTATATGCTTGATAGTCTTAAATGGTAGTTCATGTTCAAAAATATTATTCCTGCTGCAAATCAAGATTTTAATGTAGTGATGGAATTTATCATATTAAAAGACAAACTGCATATTGGAAAAAAAAAACAATAATCAAGGAACTTCTCACCTGGAGTTTTTGAATTTACAACTTTCTTTATATATTTCAGCATTTCACATTATTAAATTCTCTTTTTGTGATGCATTTCCTGTATAATTCAGAAACAAAAGGATGAATGAATACAATTAAAACAACGAAGAAACGCGGGTCTCTAGTATTACCAGATCCCTACGTTAACCATTCCTCCATTTAGACGATCTTCTTTAAAAATGTAAATTAGTGGTGTATTTAACCTAAGCATTTGTTGCATTATGTTATGAATGATGAATATGTACATGTATTTGTGTGTCATATAATTTTGAGATGTGTGCCATTTCAAAGAATTGCTAAAACTGGTTGGGACGCCATTGAGTGATAGCGTGAGTTAGAGAGAGAGGGGGAGGAGACGGGGAGAGCACTATAAGAGGGAGAGAAGCGCTGTGATAGATCAAGAGAGGAGAGAGAGAGAGAGAGAGTGAGAGAGAGTGAGAGAGAGAGAGAGAGAGAGAGAGAGAGAGAGAGAGAGAGAGAGAGAGAGAGAGAGAGAGAGAGAGAGAGAGAGAGAGAGAGAGAGATCACTGTGACAGGGAAAGGGGCGGGGAAGAGCGCTGAGAGAGAGAGGGGGGGGGGGGGGCACTGTGAGATACGTAGAAAAAGAGAGAGAGAAAGAGAAAGTGGATTGGCAGTTGAAGGGGCAACGAGCAAGGTCTATATAAGTACTTATTATAGACCGTATAATATTATTATCGACCTTGGGAGAGCATGCACGCACGCACAGAAAGAGAGAGAATAACAAATAACAAATCTTTGATTGTCCAAGAAAAAATGATGAATTATTGCATAAATTTGGGTTTGATACTGATATACAAAAGTGACCTTTGTATATCAAAGATAATACTGTTGAGTTGGAGTGGCAAATTCATTTAAAAGTTTATCTAAATCTGATAAGAATATTTATATATACATTTTTCCGATTTTTTCCCGAATTTATATATAAGCTGCATGTCTGCCGGTATGAATTTTGCTCTCATAGCAAGTACCCGGCCATTTCTCTCCCTCTCTTTCACTTTCCATTTTCTTTCTTTCTCTCACATTTTATCTCATTTCCTGCCTCTGTCACGCTTTCCTTTTTACCTATAACACTGTGGCTGTGTTCATGTACCGATATATACATTATTGCGACTGGTATGACACTAAGAGAATTCGGGGGAAGAGCAGCTCCATTGAGCTTTAATTCTAATTTGGTCGCTAAAATCATAAAAGAGTTAAATTCGAAAGTTGTGGCTCGGTATGAACGGCTAAATGCCATGTAACGAAAATTGTTTTTGTGTTACGTATTGACTGTCAAATTTCTTGTTAATTCTTTAATATTTTTCACTCTTCACTCCTTTTTATAATTTTCAATAGTGCAGTTGGATTATTATATATATTAG